AAACATCTTTTTTTCATTGTAAAGCATGTTTGCTTAAACATCTTGACACCAATCAAGTGAAGACACCCTGGAATCCATGCATATCTCGTTGGCGCCGACAAAGAGAACAAAAACAGTTTTTCGATTTCATCTCGTCTTCTAGGAACTCTTGGCGGATAATAGGCCACGATTTGGTACGTCGTCAACATGTATGCCTCTTCGAATTAGTTGGTAGGATCTACCAGCGTCAGGAGCAAGTGTATGCCCGGAAAAGCAAAGCATTCACTTTGTTCTGGTTCATAGCTATTTAACTATGAGTCTCTTGAATAACATAATAATGGGGATGCCCTAAACCAATTTGAGTCACCAAAAATGTCAAACGCATTTTTAGCTAAAACAACAGTTTTACTCAGACAGGAAGAAGTACAAGCTTAAAAATTCTATATGTTTTCTAGTATTTTTCTGTTATGTGCTTCTGAAAAAAAGGAGCCCAAAGTACCTTATGACTCACCCTCTTCAAATCCACTAAAGTCCACACTTTGAAGTAGGCAGCAGGGTTGTCTGGAGAGGAGGCCCATAATAAAAGCATCAAGGATGCTGGGGCCCTTGAGGACACCGATAGAGGAGAGATCGGCGGAGTCGGGATTAGAGGCAATGAAGGCGGGACGAGTGAGGTAGCCCCGTGTGAGGGGAAAGTCCTCCTTCGGTAGCAACCGACGAACGTTTAGCCAGGTGCCCGGCCAGTTGGCTACTAGGCCTGAGATAGCTGCACAGTCGCGCTGCACAACAGCTTCTGTAAGGAGACGCTCAAATAGGCCAACGGGCAAATTCTTGTAGTCAGGTCTCCGTGAGGGCGCATCTCCGCCAACTAGCCCAGCGGAACCGGCCGATGACAATGTGGCTACAGGTTCCGCACTGGGTGCACTTGGAGAGGAGGAGGATGACTGTGGAGGTAGCACGCAGGGCCAGTCACGAATCAGATAGGCGATACATATTTCAGCCAGTGTTCTGTGAAGTGTAAATAAAGAACTGTTGGGTTAGAATACTACTCGCTGAATAGCATAGCTTCATTTAATTTTAAATGGCTATATTTTGGCGCGAATGCAAACAAATGATTTCCTCGCAAAGGCAGATGCTTGGTTGGAAAGAAACTTGCTATCTAACAGGACAGATTTGAATATTGAACAGGATCCTAATTGGTGTATTGCAAAAGATTTACAAATTGGAATGCAATTTGTACTAAACTGACAAGCTCGGTCATAAACAAGAAAATATTTGATGTGTTTCTATGAATTTCTATTAGTCAAGCCAGATTGAAATTATGCAATGTCATTTAAAAAAGAAACTTGAAAACATTGGGAGGAACCTGGGGTCACCCGAGGACCAGACAGGGATGGAAAACTTGGTGTGGGACATAATTTCACAGGCAAAACGTTACTTGTTGTATCAATTAACCCCAGACGCAGATGTTAGGGTTCCTTCATTATTTCCCAACTTTCTTTGCCTTGGAGGTCGAACCAAATTGTGTGGAACTGCTTAATAGAATCCTCTGTTTGAGACCTCTTCCAACAAAAGTTTGGGATGATGCAAATAACAACGAAACACGAGGAATTTCGCAGGAGTAACTCAGCTAGCAAGCAAAATAGAAGTGATTGGAAAGTTTTATGGATAGATTCATGGTTTGGTGCTCCGTGCCTCTTATACGATGCAAAGGAAAGAAACTTAAAAAATCAACGGGATAATATAGAGTTAGAACAGTTAAAATGTTACTCAAATAGGCTAATGCCGCATCGCTCACTACTGAATGGTTTATAATGATCCTTTAATGTCATAAGAGGTTCCGATTAACCCAATGATCAAGAAAATATGCCCTAAACCTAAATCAGTTTTTCATTCATTTGCTGATGCTGCTTTACTTTAACGTCAGGAACCAGGCTGTCATATGTACGCGCATTTTATTGTCAAGTGGTAAACAAAAAAGTATACTTTCGTATGGGAAGACAAAAATGCGCTTAATTTTGTTGATGCTTGGGGATAATTCTAGTTCTCTTTTACTCATTACTTTATAGTTTTGGAATGTGGCAAAATGAACTTTGCATAGGAATTCCCTTTATGCTAATACTGGCTTAAGCTCCTGCTTCCATGAGTCCTGAGAAGGCTTTCTAGTGTTTTTTTCGGCAGGACGGTAACTTTTATAACACCGTCACTCTTTTCGAGGAAATTCTTATCTGTTAATAATTTATAGTTGGATTCGAATAGGCATCTCAGCAAGAAGTATGGAATACTCGCAGAAAATAACCCACCTTGGCTTACAACGAACGTTGTTTGTGTCGGAATTCCACTGAATAGCACCAGATTCCGGATCTCGCTGTAACTTGTATCGACAGTGAAGGAAGGGATACCATACAGAGGCAAATTCTGGACGACGCATTTTCGCCCAAGAAGCATATATCGGTGCCTGTCTCGGGAGATAGAAATCAGTGGAGGTCAGCGTTCTCCGGAGCCCTGGAAAATAGAAACCAGGACCTTGTAACTTTCTTGTCAATCGGGAGCGGGGGCGACGCTGAGTTCGTGAATCACAGGCGGCCAAAGTCACTGAGCGTTGGAATCTAACCATGCCCCGCCCGAAGCGTCTTTCAACCTGACCTGCTTTGTGCAGTGGAGATGTACACTCAGATTCATCGCTTTCGCGCCAAGTATAATCAATAAGAGTAAGGCAATTGTGCATCTTGTTGGGCTTGACTAATATGCTGTGGTGCGCAAAGAACGCCCTCAAGTGGGTTGATCAGGCGAAGAATGTTGAAGGGACGACAGAAGGCAGCGGTGTTAAAGGCATCGACCAGAACCGGAATGAAGTCTTCCACCAATGGGCAAAGTGCGTGCCTCCTTATTGGTGAAATCTACCACATCGCTGGCCTATGGTGCGAAGGGAGAGAGCCGATCGGCCGACGTCCACCGCATGCCATGTGACCATCAGCATGACCCAAACTGGCGATGAGTGAATAGAAAAACTGTCTCTAGACGTTGGACATCGGTTACCGTCTGCTTAGTTTGAACAGTGCTTTAGTTGCATGACATGGGAAGTTTTGGTTTAATGTGGCGGAGGATTTAGAAACACAGTTGTAGCTGGCACACCTTTTAAGTCTCTGCTCATCAGAAAAATGAACACAGAAAACACTGAAGAGTTTTTATCATTAAACTAATCTCCCGAATTTTAGAAAATATGCGATATCCAGGCAACTGAATAGAAGAATTATGGGAGACGGTCGCTGGAACCAGTGTATTATACTGAGTGGTTTCGCTGTTTTATTATATATTGCTTTGGTTTATGCAGTTTATTTTTCGTTTAATCTGGTTAAACGAGATTATTAACCGTCATTTGACGTTTCTCTTCTTAATATTAAAAAACAGATTTACAAACCGACTATAGCACATTAATTCCGCAGTAAATCTACACAATTTATTCATCGTCTTCTTCACGTTAGGCTAGGATTTTGACAGGATCTGCTTGACACCTTGTGTCAGGCTCCTGTATCTACCCTCTCCTTTTATCTCAGAGATCTGTTTTTATGTTACGAAAAATCATTATCAAAAGAGGATCAACATTTTCTGCTAACAGCGAAAAACCGACCTCAAAATCTGTCTATATATCACGATCGGGAAAGTTTGGAAGTGCTGTCATGGAATCGAATCGGCCGAGGTCGCTAAGGTTTTTACAGTTAGGTTAAAATAAATAAGTCAAACATTCTCCTTTTACACTTGAGTATACGTGACTCCATATGGTATTGCTGTAAACGCACAACTCTTCTGCCAGACTAAGATGGTTGATAAGAAGCAGGTCTTGTACGCATTAGGCTTGACGTAACCCTTATTCCCGCTGGTAGTATTCTGTTCCTTTTGAGGTGGATCATGTACAGCTAGATGAATGCGATTTTATGTGAAATAATTAAATGGAGACTAGACAGGAGAGATAACATGGTCTTCATGCTTTGGATTATAACCGACATAAATAAGGGTCGACAGATTATTTCTGGGACAAAATAAGAACGGACAAGAGAAGTGCCGCAATATTTACTGAATAAGAAGCTGCTTACTGTGAACCTGTGTATTATAGGCCTCTATATTTCATAATACGGTATACGTCGTACACCAATTCGGCATCGAAATGATGTGGGCACTGAAACATCAAAATTAGATGTCGTGCACTCTGGGAATTACCAAGTCTGGAGACAATCCAAACCTCAGAAAATCCTGCTTATGTGATTAGTATGTGTCAGGACCACCTTTCCTCAGCTTCCTCAGGCAGAATGCCGACTGAGGAAGGCTGCTGTGGAGGGAACTTCGGAAGTGCGATCGTAGATTAGGAGAGCCTTCAATGTCGGTAACTGCATGAAACAGAATATTATCCAACAAGAAAATAACTGTTTCCAACCGATATCAAGTAAATTAGATGTCACTACTGTTAATACAAACATCGCTAATTCGTATTGTATTCATGCTCAGAATGTTCCATTACGAGTAAATGGTAAGCACGTTGGTCTAGATATGATGAATAACAAAATTAGGGATATAACACGTTGAACATGGGAATAAAAAAAATCGCCTGTTCGCTTCTATCAGCAATCTTTTTGAGCTCGAAGCGCTTCGATCGGCTCGACGATGGGAAACCTTTGCCCTTCGAGAGTCGTTCACATTAGCGCAGATTCGATTTCTGCACAGGCGTCTCGACAACAATGTGCTGCCGAAGTGTGCTTCATACAAAACGCCGGGTAACACAGAGCTGGTGAGACGCACAGTACTTCAACACGGCCGACAAATGATCTGAGTGCTCCTTCAAGACTGTCACTCAAGGATTCGCAAATACCGTCAGAGGATTGACCAAGAGAAAGAAAAGGTGCTTCGAGTTCATGGGCGAGGACGGCACAAAACTGCTTCAGAAGAGGCTGGCCTAACGAACTCGCGAAAATAAAGCGACACGCGAAGCAGCACTAGAGAACAAATTTCGTAAGTCGTCTGCTCCAATGTCATCCAACAACCACAAACTGGTGCACAACTTGTCGTCAAAGGAGCTGACGGAGGAACAAATACAGGTGTTACGGCATGAGGCTTCATTCAACACAGCCGATGCCAAACCCGTCAACATGATTGCAACGATGGAATCAATCCTCAGCCAGAGGGAAGCGACAGACGAAACGAAGAACCTCGTTCGACACCAAATGTCATCCCTCCTCATGGCTCATAGGCCGCGCGACGTGCTTTCCAAGGTCGAGCGCGATGCACTTAAGGAATTCATTGCCGACAACTATGTCGTTATCGGGCTTGCGGACAAGGGGCGTTCCACGGTCGTATTAAACAGGACAGACTACAATCAGAAAGCCAAACGTTTGTTGGAGGATCGTCAGTTCTATGTGTCATGCGAATCCAACCCCATAAAAACGCTGACACGCGAGATTAACGCGATACTGTTGGCAATGGAGGACTCGGGTTTAATATCGCCCACTGACCGACGCATGGCGAGAGCGCAAGGAACGGCCCTAGCCCGATTCTACGGTCTCCCAAAAGTACACAAAGAGGGCGCTCCTCTCCGGCCTATCGTGCCACTAAAGGGCACTCCAACCTACGGACTGGCAAAGTGGCTGTTTCGACGTTTCACGTTTCTGGCCCTCCGATTAGAACACCACAGTCAGCTCTTGAACACAATTCTTAAAGAAACTTAAAGCAGTAAGTCTCCTGCCAAGCGATGTCATGGTTTTCTTTGATGTCATGTCCCTCTTTACTTCTATCCCGCAGGACCTGGCAGTCGAGAACATCGAACTACTCCTAAAATATAGATACTACAAAATCCGAGACTGCGGGCCCATAAATTCCTGTTCAAGTGATCGCATCTTCGTATTCTGAACTGCTACCCGTAAATCATCTGTTGGCTTCCATTTTACCTTCATGTTAACCCGCAGACATCCTACCGTGGCATCGAACATTTCACAGTAAACTTTGGTCTCAACTGCTTAATGTTTTGATCAGCTAAAACGTCCATCCGCGACAGCTCCTCTATCCTTCATGTGTTCCCTAGCTGTAAACTACTTGTTCGAGGTAGACAAGGTACTGTCTATAAAAATTAGGAAAATGCTTGGTTGATTATCATAGAAACTTTTCATGTGCACCGCAAAACCATGTGCTTGGTCAATGTCGTCAGGGTCGGAATCTTGGCCGGTTACATTTTTTAGTTATTTTGATCAAAACCTTATAATTTCCACTAGCATCTTCTTAACGTCTTCCGTCCAGAAAAGTTTGCACTTAAAACCTGCACTCTAGAAGGCCTTGTATGCATAAGTCACTACCAAGTAACAGCCTTAGAGGCTGCATCCGTGGGGTAAATTTCTTGTGGTTGATTAAGCGCAGGGTGAAGATTAAATATGTAAGCCCATTGAGACATAAGGAGGCAGAGTCTCCTTAATACAGGAAGAGTGTTAATAGTAGTTTCATCAACAGGGCAGTTGAGCGCGAAAGTTGGAGGGATCAATGGGAGACATTTCGGAAACTCTCGTTTTTGCCGTATGTTTGCCTTGTTGCTCCAAAAGGTTTGAAATTTGCCGATTAGGCGCATGTATGGCGCCCCAAGAACTAGACACCGGTGTTTGAATCGTGTGAACACATTTGGCGCGGATCCAAGATGGAGATGGTTTAACCGCACTTCGGCGAAAATAGGTGATGCCCTGTCCTTGTATGACCGCCAAATCCCTGCCCGCAGTCTCGACAATAACCTAACGCTTGCCCCTCTCCAAATCGGCTCTTTCCACGACCCTCGCCTGGAGTTGTCCCCAGCGTTGCGATCCTCACCGGTTGTCTAGCAGGCATGCTGGCATCACCTCCATATCCAGACGGATCATCCTCCTTTTACCGTTTACCACTTTCCAATATAACGATCGCATTTTTAGTATACGATTCGTATCTTTTATCTCTTCTTTGTTCCTGCTTGATGAGAGTGATTCATGTCTAGCTTCCTTTTTTCAAGTTCCTTCTAGGTCAAGAGTTATCTGTAGCGCTCCACTTTACGTCGTGTGTGCTAACCTCAACGTCATCAGCTGCTTCGCGTGTAAACGGGTGGAAGCAGGTAATCCCAGGTTATTGACTAAAAAAGACCGGATTGGGTAAGGCCACACGATGCGGGCAAACGTAGACCTAGCCTTAACTCTAGCCTCAACCTTAAAGCTTCCCCCGACCTTTATCTCTGACCTGGTCCCAAACTTGAACCCAGGCTTAATCATAACGAAAAACTAAATAATTTTCCTAGGCATAGGCCCAAACGCAGCCTCAATATAACACGTCTACCTAAATCAAATAAGCAGGCATGCTTTAGTAACAGAAATTAGGGACTTGCATATTCGATCGCAACTCACTCCAGTATCGTCCGTAGAGTAAACGTCTACTATCTAGCTATCCGTTAGTGAATATGCGGGAAGACGGTAGATGGTAAAATGTTTTCATTTCCACGCCTTCCAAGGAACAATTACCTCATTATTCATAATCAGACAGGACCGTCGGTGTATATGATTCCCCAAGGCACAAAACGTGTAGTTGGTCAGTAGAAGTCATGAACATGGGACCACCTAGCCGATCTCAAGAAATAAAAGCGGGTGGCAGCATAGACAGACAAGAAAAACTTATTTGAGCTTGGTTATTCTCGGAATGTGAACTGGTTGGGTAATCACCCAATCATTCGTGAACAAATACTGTGAAAACTGGACAGGGGCGTTTATTAATTTTGGTTCGGCAATGCTGATGATGCAGCCAGTCAGACCTCTGTGGACCACTAACAAAAGTCTGTGGGCATTTATATTTTTAGGTCACTGGTGTTGGTCACACGTACGAATGGCTGATGAAGGCATAATTAAATCTGTAACAACCACATTCTCAGTCGTCGCAACCTTCTGCTCTTGCTCTCCTGGTCATTGTGCATCGGGTTAAAGGGACAGACTGTGTAGGGGGTGGCAGGTCGCGCCATGTGCCCCGTACGGGTAGCGGCTGCTCTGCACGCTCCCCAACTAGCATCCAACTCGTATATTTGACTTCCCAAAGCTAAGCTGTGTCCAGTGGCCACCACCCGGTAACCGCTTCGACCTGCGGGCTAAACTGCAAGAGGTTATCCGGCGCGTCTGCATCCACACACCGGATACTTATGCACCCCCTCCCTCACGTTTTAAAAAGTTCTCCGGGGAGCGTGATATGCAATCCCGTAGGCAGATCAGGCTAACTCTAGTCGTCTTTCCGTTCAACGAAGTCGCGATCCATGGTGGCACTAGGCACCCTACTGGGAAGTTCAAGCAGCCCTACTTAGGAACAGAACTGCTTACGCTCTCACAGGAGAGGGTGTTGGTAGAGGTGCCTTAAGCAAATACTTAGAAATCACGTCATTGGCAAGCAGTCCGCAGCTCCTAAATGTAAAACTCTCGAATGATGCTGTAACAGCTACCTGATCAGTTTCCTCACCTCTAAGCCAGCTATTGCTCACTTGGTTATTCTGGGTTCCGCGTTATCGGTTTACCTCCGTCAATGTTGATCAACGCGACGAAATGCGCCTACATGTGTAAAGGTTGGAACCATGCCCGTCTTCGAACATGAACCGTCGGGCAGAATTTTGATAGTTATTGGACGTTTTGCTATCCGCCGACCAAGTTTTATTCTCATGGATACCGATCAAATATTGAAGACGTCATAATGAGATGAAAAATGGCCGATGTGACAGTTCTGCATAAGTCTGTTGTTATTTCGGCTTGTTAAGCAGCCGTCAAAATAGATTTATATTCTATATATGAAATTGGTTTTAGGAAGGCATTTTTATTACTTGCTTCTGTGCAGAAATTTCTCTTATCAGAGCCCAAACGTCCAACGAGAGTGAACACATAGGATGCCAGATTTAGTTCGAACATTTTTTGTTTCCGATATTTGTTTTGTAAATTAGAATGCATATGCAGATAAAGGGTTCTTATCAGCGAAGCCTTACTATTTCACGGAAGTAATACCAGTTGTTATCTGGACTAAAATATAAACGCTTCACAAGAAATAAATATAGTAAAGAGGGTGTAAGTAAAAGAAAATAACATATAGAGTAAATTTTTAAGCAGAGAAATTACAGAAATTTCAAGTCCATCGACGCAGACTATATACCAAGCCATAAGGAGTCATCGGAAAATTGGTAAACAGATGTGAAGAAAAACAAAGGAAAATTTACACAAACTTGCCTCCAGAAAACAGGGGCAAACGCAGTTGTGAATAAGACATCTATTTTTCTAAGGAGACAGGAAATCAATCTTTCATGAAGCCTACAAAAATGATTGAAACATCATAAGCTCAACAGCAAGGTAGGCGTAAAGAACCTTTGTACCATAGGAAGACAAACTAGACAACATTTTAGAGAAATTGGCTACTCGAAATTCAAAAGGCCGTCCAATAAGCGATCGACAAGTTCAAAAATTCTTATTATTTTCCAAGGCATATGACCGGAAACGAAGAATTTTCGATTTCGACTGACTCTACACGTAGTGGGTATGTTAATTCTTAAACAAACGACATGACAGTTTTGTATGGATTAGCTTTCACTAATGCGTAATTTAGAAACGGCACAGGCAGAAGACTGGCAATGTTCACTTTCTGTTATGCTTTAACAATTTTGAAAAGGATACCAAACGTAAAATAAATAGCGTAAGATTGCAATATGAGGAAAAATGTTCGTTATTTCATTTGCGACAGAAAAATTGTCACTCATTCTCAGGGAAGGGAAAAGCTGGTCAAAGGTTCTAATTGGTACCCCGACTTAACATTAAAAAAGGTAAAGCACGCAGACGTTCGTCGGCAAAATGCCTAAAACATTTCAAAGACGAAACTTATTACAGAAGGTATTTAAGTCGATATAATACATTCATGGCTGACTGTCGCTGTAAACATTAGTTTTTTCTTGAAGACGAGGTTTCATACTTGAGTAAGCCTACCCAAATGACGCAGACGGAAATCTGTATAAGAAGAAATATTCATAATTTTACTAGCTCTGCACATACATTTAAGAAGGATCTTATTCTGAATGTTTTGATATATTCATGTAACACAATCTACCTTCATGGGAAATCGATTGGAAAATTTTAATATAGGGAAACGCTCACGGCTGTTTCAGGGATGTCCGGAAACTAATCTTGCGCCAAAAGCAGAAATAATTAAAAGGAGATTTGATCGGGGAACGTCCTTTTAATTTAAACGAAATGGTATACTTACGATTGCACGTGATAGTTTTATATCATTTCATTGGTCACTAAACGGCCACGCAACGTACAACCTTATAAAAATGTTTATTCCTGTGACGCCCTGTCGGCGAAATTCAGCGAAAACCTGTTTACCGTAGTCAACCGCAACTCAAACAGTGTCCAATAATACCTCAAAAATTTGGTCCATCCGTTTTGCCGGGTTGTGAGTGATTAACAATGTTTCGTAAATTCCTGCGTCTTTTATGGGATTGGTCACATGTGATATTGTTTTTGAACCGTGCTCTCGTATGACGCCATGTATATTTTAATACCCCAAGGACAGTCACCTAAATTTTGGGTGGATACATGGTAATCAACTGACGTTCATGTCAATCCTTCGGCTGGCGAGCCAGTGATCAGACAGGGCACAGCGGGTCTCGGACACTAGAAGTTGAAGGTAACCATAAGCATGCAGAGGCACGAAA